CTTTCCCTCAATTGTCCAAACATTCCAAAAAAATACGCTTTTCTCTATTTGTTCTTGGCTGCTAAAAGCGATATAAAGTTGCTGTGGAAGAAAGGGCAGTGGTGAGCACTACAACATTTGGAGAAGAAACATGCCACCACAACACTTTCACACATGGTATGGCTTTATGAGGAAAACCAAATGGTTAGTCCACAAATTAAGTAGTTTCCTTCAAAGTAAAAGTTTGAAGTCTTATTTTCATTAACATTATTTGGATAGATTTGTTATTCAGGATGAAAGCCTTATACTCTACCTATTTAAAAAAAAAGCATACCTGGAAAAGATGAAAGGTCATTTTGCATTGTGGTGGTTTACTTTCCCAGACCTGAATTGGTCTGGTCTCTTTTTAGCAGAGAATAAGTTTCCATTAACATATTAAAGTAAGAAATAGTTACCTAAAGCTAATGTATGGACAGATACTATGTGAGACAGTTGTCGATAGGAACCGGCAAATTGCACCTCCTTAATTCTGATTTCAAATAAATAAATGCTATTCCAGTGTATGCCACTCCTCCAGTCATTTTAAAACATTTTAAAATTGGTATGTGTATAGATGGATGCTACTGACAACTTTTACATGCTAAAAGCATTTACGTGTTTTTAAAACAGTTCTCAGTTGTCTTTTAAAATGAACAAAACAAAAATACTGTTCCTGTAGCTGGCAGCATTAGCTCTCTTGGGGCTCCAGCAGTAAGAGTACAATCTTCCTAACATAGCAGCAAACCTGGCAAAGAGTAAAACATTTCTAATACGAAGACATTTCAACTATTCCATTCTCTGCAACCTACCAATTTGCCTTACTAATCTTCTCAGTTAGCTCACAAAGACTCAACTTTCATATTCTACTTAAGCATGATGAGCTGCTTCAGAAGCACTCCACTACTGTTTTGAGAAATAGAATCAGAGAATTGTTTTGGTTGGAAAAGACCTTTAGGATCATCAAGTCTAACCGTTAACCTAGCACTGCCAAGTCCACCATTAAACCATGTCCCTAAGTGCCACGTCTACATGTTTCTTAAATATCCCCAGAGATGGTGACTCAACCACTTCCCTGGACAGCCTGTTCCATTGCTTGACAACCCTTTCGGTGAAGAACTTTTTCCTAATATCCAATCTAAACCTCCCCTGGTGCATGTTCCTCATGTCCTTTCTCAGTGAGGCCGCTGATAAAGACGACATCTGGCCTGAGTGGGACCAGAAACATGGAACACTTCTCTGCTGTTTCATTTGGGGGTAGAATTTAATCAAAACCTTCTTTACAAAACGCTACTCGTTAAAACTATAGACAGGCTCAGTCAAATTAGCAGTGGCAAACGCCACGCCAAAAGGCCCAAGAGCCACCAGCTTTCACATCAGCAAAACCACAAATACTTACCAAGCATCTGTATGAAGGGCAACCCTCTGTGTGTTTGGCTTTTGGATGCGGGTTTTTTGGCCTTTCATACTGGCAGCAGTGAAGCTCATGAATAAATGAGAAAACTGCCAAACACAGAAGGGGCATCATCGCATGGCGTTGACACCAGTGAGTACCCGTTACTGCTACCCATTGCCAAACATCATCAAGTGCATTCAGGTCACTTGGCTTCTCCATGCAGGCACAACGTATAAATGATGTACGAGAGTAATCATCAGAAGTTCAGCTTTGCAGGAGCATAACGGAATAGCTTTGTCTTACATGGAAGGGAAACACTTTTAAGTTGTAAATGCTTCAAGCTTCAAGTAGGCGAGCCTGCAACTTGAACTTGCAGAAACTGCCTGAGACAATGTCTTCACTGAGGTCATAATATACACGTTTCTTCATTACAGATAAATGAAGAAGTAGACAGTGTATCAAAGCTCAGAAGAGATTCAGTAGTACAGGAAACCAAACTAAAATACTGGCTATTTGCATTATTTAGCAGCCATCTGTAAACACCAAGGGTGCCTAACTAGTGTGCTCTATTAAATTTCAGCAAATTCTTGAAAACTTATTACTACAGATACTTTGATTGTGCTTCCTTGATTGATATTAGTGATTTTGGTACACTCCCTTCATGTTGCCAATCAGGACTTTGAAACAAGAACAGACACTGTGCTTCCTGAGGTACAACTGGAGGGGATGTCCCTCAAACTCCAGAACACTGAGGGAAAGACCCCTCCCAAAATCCTTCCCAGGTTTCACACACAGTTCTGAGCAGCAAGACCCTGGCAACAGAATCAGTATCATATGGATTAAATCAAGCATACGGTGCAGACAACTAGTAAAGCTAATAACCCACATAATTTCTCACTGAATCCTGTCAATTTAATTTAAGGTGCTCTCTAATAATCTTGGATATGACTGATAAGGTTGAAAGGAACCAACCTTGCAGGAAGAACAGTCAACTCCTCTTTACCACCCTTCACAGCTACCCAGAGTTAAGGCCACCCCGCCTGTACTGCATGCAAGTACAATAACCAGAGTTCTTCCATACCATCCGACATAATTCGATAGCTCTGGCAAAGAGCAACTTTACTTCAGCTATAGCAAAAGATGACATAGGGATACCCACTTCTGCTAAGTTTGCAGAGGGCACACATAAGATAAAAATGCATCTATTTGATTCTTAACAATGACTTCTTTTGGGTGCAAGTTATGTGGCAAGTAATGAGCCAGAGACATCTCCCAAGCATCCACAAAGTGCACAGCAATTCCTGAGAACATTTTCCTCATGACAGAATCAAGCTGAAAGGAATACCAGTCACTGTTAAAGAGGCTCACTTCTGGTCCAAGCTCCTGAACGTTAGCGGTTCTGATGACGATTAAAGTCTTGGGGCTGCGATCCAGCAGTTGAATAATTGATCTCCGAATGTTCCTCAGCCGCCGGATATACACTTCCACAGGGAAAGTGCTGAAGTGGGACCATATAGTGATAGCTATCACCGTGTTTCTCCCACCCACTATGCCATTCAGTTCGTTGGCAATGTAGCGCAGTTCACTGCTAAAGACTGTTGAAAAGCGAATGGGTGGCCCGTGACAGCGGAACTTCAGTAGGATACTGTGCTTCAGATCCACAGACATGAAAGGGCCCACGTTCTTAGGACTCCCCAGGTTAAATTCCACTAGATCTGAAAACCCAAGAATAAGCATTAGTGAGAGATGGCATAAGATCAACAAGATGCTAGGACCACAGGGCAAAAATAGCAGGAGATAAGGAAATCTGAACATAATTCTAAGAACTCTAAAATGAAACAGAAGATGAATGTCATACACGTGCTAGCTGCATATTTCAGAGTGGAGTTTCTGGCTATTGAAATTTGCAGGACAGCACACTTCAGCTTCTAAGGCTGTCAATGCCTTTTCCAAGTTTCCCAAACTATTTTCTTCTCTCTCTCATAAAAAAGACATTTTCCAAATAGACTCCTTCAGTCATTGTTGCCCTATGAATCCAGTGCTCATGGGAACCCTTCTGGCAACTTTAGGACTCCATTAAATTTAAAGATGACTTCAACTTGTAGGCATTAAGGAGCCTCAAAGTCTGTGCTCCAACACAACTTAACTGCTTTGGGGCTAAGGGGTGAGGGAGGAATATCTAATTGGCTACCGAAATTCTGTTATTTAATTTAAAATAAGGGAAATACAAGAAAGGCCCCAAGCCCAATCTACAGTAATGGAAGTAATTTGCTACTTCATTCCAAAGTCACTGGTGTGACTGGGATGCTACAAGGCCTTATGCAGGCACCCTGACTGACTTCTGCCATGCCCCCCAGGTGGCCACCTTAACTCACAGCCACAGCATCGGTCCTCATTGGTGAAAAGTTTTACAAGGGCAACTTCGCAGACACCTTGTGGCCCCATTTCCAAGGCCTACATATTTCCCGTGTCTGCCCAAGCATTTGACTAACTGCCTTTCTGCCAGAACTTGTGATGATGTTTTAACTTTCCTCTTTCCTTTGTTTTGTCATTGTCATTCAGTAAGATTGACTCTGTATCTGAGATGCAAGAAATAAGGCTTTGCATAGGTCTTTAAGGACAAAACTAAATTAAAAAAAAATAACCTGGAACAAATGCTGTCAGATATTCAAACCACTGCCTTATTGTAGAGTCGCCAAACAAGTGGATTACTTTTCCTTGTAAGCACTTGGTTATATCATCTGAATTGTTAAAATGATGGATCCAGTGTGTTCTGGACCTCCACTGGTCTTCATAATAAAAACCAGAAGGAGAAACTGTGGGATCTTCAGCTTTGTCCATACTGCTGGAATCTGGAAGAGAAAAATTCTTTGAAATTAACATACAACAAAATTAGCCACCATAGCCTTTGTGGACGCATAGCCAGTGATGGATGATCTTCCCTAGTTTAAAGCCAAAGAGTATGATGTACTGTGTAGATTAAAAAGCTCGATGCGTCACACTTCTGTAAGCTCAAGTATTTCACCCCCTATTTCTGCAGCAAAACCTGCAATTACTGACAGAGTTAGTTGAACAATTACAGTTTAACTTGGTTTAAATTAAATGGTATCTCTGATGATAAGTCAAAAATAGTAAGTGTCTGACATCTTTCACACTTTCACACTGAAGTGCTCAATCGTGGATGCTTGCAAAGGGTACAGAAGAGCACAGGCAGAAGGATCAGCAGAGCACCTTCTTCTCCCAGCCTGGGCCAGGTGCCAGAACGCCCAGCCCCACCGTCCCTTGGCTGGGGACACCTGCAGCCCCTGTGCCAAAGCGCACTGCTCCCCTCTATTGTCTGTGCCCTTTGCACGTATGAATTATGAGACTCTCTAATTCCACGGATTTCATTCTTTCTCTCTGCCATGTAGCCCCTTTCCCCTTTTACTGCCTGGGATAGGTGGCCCCCTGAGGAGTAACTGGACTACACCAGGAGAGCTCTGTCCTGTAGGATGCCCATTTCACTTGCAGAAGTTGGATGATACCTTGCAAGCAAGGTCCAGCGATTACAGGAAGAGAAGCTGCCATCTCATGGTTATGTCAGTCAAATGTTGCCATATTTCTCTTAGTATCCGGTGTGATACTAGGACGTTGAACTTCCGTGAGGTCGTTACAGGTTCCTCCTTTACCACATGCATATTCAAACACCTAAACTAAACAAGCACGGAGCTGCTCCCTGACACAAACACCAGCTGCGTGGTGCAGACACATCCAGCTGTTTAAACACTTTTACTGACCTTGGCGTGGAGACTACCTGTTAAGAACAGCCCCTGCCCTATCCTAACTTGCAGCTGTTTGCAAAAGCACACATTGCCATGGCCAAAATCATGTCAGGGACCATTCTAACTATGTAAAAGTACAGGCAGTGGAATTCCAGGGCCCAGAAGCATCCTCTGGTAGATGCTTCATTATAACACAGGTATAGCCAAACTCTAAACACTCAAAAAAATCAGACTATAAGCATCTATAAACACCCATTCCTAACAGGCATTTTTGGTCTCACTGTTTCTATACAATATTCTCTATGTCTTGTATTAGTAGATCTTAACCTCCTTAGACCTCACAGGGACACTGTAAAAAGCAAACTACTATTATGTTTGTATAACTGTCCTGGTTTCGACTGAGATCGAGTTAATTTTCTTCCTAGCAGCTGGTGTAGTGCTGTGGTTTGGATATAGGATGAGAATAACGTTGATAACACACTGATACTGTAGTTGTTGCCAAGCAGTCAAGGACTTTTCAGCTTCTCATACTGCCCTGCCAACAAGAAGGCTGGGGGTGCACAAGAAGCTGGGAGGGGACACAGCCAGGACAGCTGACCCAAACTGGCCAAAGGAATATTCCATACCATATGACGCCATGCTCCGTATATAACTGGGGGGGGTGGGGGGGTGGGCCAGGCGGTGGGGGGTGGTGGGTGGGCCAGGAGGTGGTGCAGCTCAGGAACTAGCTGAGCATTGGCTTTGGGTGGTGAGCAATTGTGCTGTGCATCACTTGTTTTGTATATTCTTTTATCATTATTATTAACTTCCTTTTCTGTCCTGTTAAACTGTCTTTATCTCAGCCCATGAGTTTTACCTTTTTTTTTTTTTCTTTTCGATTCTCTTCCCCCATCCCACTGGGGTGAGGGGGAGTGAGCGAATAGCTGTGTGGTTGGTTTAGCTGCCAGCTTGGTTAAACCCCGACAGACCTTTTGGCACCCACCATGGGGCACAAAGGGTTGAGATAATGACAGATCTGACCAGAACATGTTAAAACAAATTCCTTGTAAGCATTCATTATATTAGTTTAATAGTCACTGGTCACAATGTTGTATTATTTGTTTGTATGGTTGTGTAAAGTAATTCTTTACATGCGTTATGTATTCCCTACGGTGCTGTTTATCACCTCTGGGAGCTAGATTAGAACTTTCCTTTTGCTGCACTATGTCCTACTCGCTTATGATAACGTTATTGACCATAAGAATGATTTGGTCTGTGTAGTCAGCATTGCTGTCATTTCTGTACCTCGGGCGCCATCTCCTGGGAATTATTAATAATCACACTCTCTACCTTTTTTTTCCCCAGAGAACAAATCTACAGGGGAGACTGTGGAAATACTTTCAGCTTCACCTCCCCTTTTTCCTTCAGGCTGGTTACAACAGCTCTTGAGAATGTTGAATATCCTTAGGATGTTCAGACCAGCACGCTGCTATTGCTGTTTCCCCCGAATGTGTTTCAAGTCTTGTTTAGGGTTAAACAACTATTTAAAAATATCGCCCAGAGATCTGCCCCGAGGCTGGATAGTTCTGAGTGGCAGGGTATGTGGGATAGCATGGGCAAATGCCTAGGACAGTAGGCATCTCCACTGCTTTGGAACTTCACCCCTGAACAAGTGCAGAATCCTGAAAAGCTAATAGAATATTTGGAAGAAGTATACTGTCACCCTGGCAGTTCTAGAGAGACACAAATCACTGCAATGTGCTGGGGCCTGGCCCATGCCTACCGAGCTCTGTTCAACACTATTCAGTACCCTCAGAGGGAAAAGAAGGTCTCTGGATCTGAGGACAAAATGACAAGCACTGCAGACATTCCAACCCCAGCAACAGGCACTGCAGCTGAACCAGAGAACCCACCCATGCCACTATCAGTCACCCCTAAACACAAGAAGAAATACACAGAAAAATCAGTTCCCTTAGTAGGGGATGACGA